ATGAAACCCCTCTGTAGCCCGGCCCTGCTGCCTCTCATATCTCTTTCCCATCATCCCCCACACTCTTCCTGCTTGGCTCCAACTTCTCAGACTCCCAAATGCATCAGGCTCTCCTGCTCTTTGGTCTTTGCTCCCCTTGCGTGGAGCCCTCTTCCTTCAGGGCTCAACCCTAATGTCCCTCTCCTCTGGGAAGCCTTCCTTGACCTTGTCCGTCGTCTATCAGGCTTGGTTAGGAACTGTGCCCCTGTGGTCCCACAGCATCTGGCTTTCCCTCTTACTGTGCTGGGCTGAGATGGTGAAATGGTCTGTTTAAGCCCCGTCTCCATAGTAGAGGCTAAGCCCTGTGGTCCATAAGCAAACACTGCCTGGTGTCCACCATTTCATCTCCAGGCCTGAGCCCCATGCTCCCTTTACTGAATTCAGGGAATTCAGTAAAGTTCCCTTTACTGAATTCAGGGAACAGGTCGGATTCATATTTGGCTCCCTAGATTTATCACAACGCTTAGGATCAGCAGGTAGGAGTAAATAGTAGTGAACGAATGCGATATTCTACTGGCTGAAATTCAGTTCTGAGATTAACATGCTTGAACTTGCTACTTATACCCATGTTTGGTGCCCAAATGTCAGTATGCCCTGTACAGATGGCAAGTAGACATTTATTTCTGACATACACAGAATAAGATAGACCATGAATCGGATTGTGATACAGAACCAGGGACAGGCGTCTTCAAGTTGGCTGCATGTGCCCTTTGCTTTAGATTCCAAAGATCCTCCTTATTACTTACTAGCTAGTCATTTCATCCTGCTGGGACTCAGTTTCTTCATATGTAAAATGAGTCTTTCCCAGCTTCAAAAGCCTGTAAGAGGAAGTGGCCTGCTATTCTTACGCATTGAGTTTGAAAGGTATTTTGAATAAGAAGGCTCCTGGAAAAAATAAAATACTCTACCAAGGCGTCTTGCAACTCACACTGCAGCATGTTCATACATGAAAGTTTAAAGATGGCGAGTAGGTTAAGGTAATTTAGCAATAAGTTGTTCTAAAAACATTTTGTGGAGAATATATATATATAAACAATTATAGACAAAATTATAAAGTGTCTGGTATTTTAAAAAACTATACAGAGAATTCAGCAATCATGGCGGAGTCAGGAAGTCTAGTGGTAACCAACCTATGATTTGCAGTATTTGTAAAAAAATTTTAAAAAACTGACTAAAACTGCACCATTTTATTTTTTAAACTGCTAAACAATATTACAAGATGATTCCGCAATGCTTCCTCTTCATATATATGCAAAACTTTTAAGTCGCTGACCTAGTGTAGCTCTTCCACAAAATATGATTCGTGTTGGCGATGCCACAGAGTCGGGTATATTGGGATCAATATTATTACATATAAAACCGTGAGTACCTTAATTTTTGTCTTAATTTAATTTACCTTAATTTACTTAGTACTGAGTACCTTAATTTAATGTCTTTTATAATCACTTTGATCAAATCTATGATTTATACAAATGTAAAGAAACTCTAATAGACCCTTAGGTCTCTTCCTTTTCCAAGTTCCCAAGTTCAAGGGGCCTTGGTGATAGTAGAACTTCCTATTTTAGTTTCCTAAAATTAGACGCATATTTAGAAAAGGACCTTAACAATCTTACCACCTTAAGCACTTAAAAAAAAAAGAGAGAGCAGAAATATTTGTATTTTCTTAGCTTACTCAAAATTGTTCCTTAGTAAAGCCATCAGCTCTCTCTATACGTTACAAATCTTTTCTTGATGTAAAGGTTTATCTATATGTGATCTTGCAGTTTTCATTTTGGAGCTTTAAGAACTTTAAGTTCTTTTGTTATTTAAAGCCCAAAATAAACAAAAATCGTAAGAAGTATGATAGTCTTATAGATTATGCATTTAAGACACCAGAAAAGTATAAAACCTCTTACTCCTTATCAAACATGAAGGGAGGGAAATAAACTATTTTGTTTTACACACACACACACACACACACACACACACACACACACGCAAACAGATGGAGGCTTACAAGCTGAAACATACTTCTAAGCCCTAGTTTTAGTTGGAAGAGTATCCATTTGTTTTTTCCCCTCAAACCCATGTATTTAAATTCAAGTATGACTCTTTTAAACAGCATGCCTCATTTCGGGTGAGTTCGTAAAACATAGGAAGCTGTTAAATAGACTTTTTGGCAGTGACGCACCCCTTCGATGCCCCAGAAATTCTAGCCAGACCAGATTCCACTCCACTTTCAACAAACCACACACGAGCTCATTTCCGTCTCTTTGCTGATATCCTCCTCCGTATCACGTATATGCTCCTTCAAAATTTGTCTGTCATTTCCCCCGTGAGGCCTGCTCTGGCAGTTCCAGCTGGCCTAGGCTTTCTCCTGAGTTCTGAAGGTTCTGGATTTCTAGTAATGCACAGTCATGTTGGTCTCTCAGTTTCTTTTTACTTTCTCCCCTGTCCCCACCCCCTAATCTATGCCCTATGAGGACCAGGCTAAGAGAAGAGGGGGACTGTATTGCCTATGGCCTTCTTTGCTGTTCAGTTCCCAGTGCCTAGAGGTGGCGGAACATGGGGTGCTTCTATAGCTGCTTAATGATGAGTGACCTCCTGGTATTTAAAGCTCGCACATGCACGTGCTATCTTTTATCCAGGTCCTTTTTAAGGGCAAGGACTATTTTATTGTCTTAGGTCATTTCTATCACTGTGGTCATAAACATAACGGGCTAAAGATAGAAACTATATTTAGAAGCACTGAAAGATTGGGGTCCTCTGAGCCTAGTGCCTCACTCGAAAAAGTTAAAGATTTATAATTTTGACTTTTGTTAGCAGGATCACTGTAACCAGTAAATAACATCCAATGCTTCTGAAAACGAAATGGAGCTCAGTCTTTGGTGAGAATTCTAAAGTCAATGTATGTAATGGTGAAAAATCAGAGTAAAAATGGTCCTCGAAAAATCTTTCCAGTGGGTCTCCCCCCAGATATAGCATACATGGTTTGTACATGTCTCATTATGTCGAGGTAAATATAATAAAACAGTATAATTTCCACTAGGGTTGGAAACAGAGCTGTTTCTTCCGGTAAGCATCGTATAAAGTAGCTGCATTTTTAGGGGTCGAGTAGTAGGAAAAGACACTTTTTGGTTTTTATTCCTTTCGTTTTCTTACAAACACAAGTCTTATAGTCGAATTAAATGAGCATGAAATGCAACACTACAGAAAACCAACTGTTAAGATAATGAATTAACTCTACAAATAAAAACTCCAGGCACGCGGATAGTGACAAGAGCATGAGTCTATCAGTTCAGAAGCTATTACAATATATCCTTGAATGCCAAGTCTCTACTAACACTTGGACAATTCCCCCTACATTTCTCCAAGTTACCCGTCAGCTCTGCAGCATCTTCTCTACAGTATATCTCTACCTTTACGTAAAAATTGTTTACCTCCCCCCCACCAAAAAAAAAGCAGCAATTTTTTTCAAACGTATTTCTCTAAAAATAAGAACCAAATCTAGGTTGTGGAGAACTGTTTTTGATATCTGGCTACAAGTTATTCAAGATAGTCTGCATATTTTAAAATCAGAAACAAATCCAGTTAAAGCAAAGCCACCGCAAAAATGTCAATGTCCGCCTTGTCGTCCCTCTTCCACACATACAAAATCAAGTCTAGTCGTAAAAAAGAAAGACTCTGTGTAATTATCATATGACCCACAATTGCACTCCTGGGCATTTTTCCTAGGAAAAATGAAAATTTATGTTCACACAAAAACCTGTACACGAATGTTTATAGCAGTTTTATTCGTAACAGTCAGGAACTGGAAACAAGCCTGAAGTCCCAACCGGTGAATGGTTAAACAATCTGCGGGACCACCAGACCCTGGAATACTACCCGACAATAAAAAAGAACAAAGTCCTGAGAAGCGCAAGTTGAATCTCCAGAAAAAATATGCTGAGTGAGAAAGGCCAATCCCCCAGGGGAGCACACACTAGAATCCCACTTATAGCACGCTCTGGCAAAGACCACATGATAGAGATGGGGAACAGGCGAGTGGTTGCTGGGGTTAAGGAGAAGTGAGTATGGATATGAAAGGGTAACAGGAGGAATCCCTGTGGGGATGGGAATGTTCTGTACCGTGACTGTATCAGTGTTAAGGCCCATAAAGCCCAGGCTGCGATACTATTATACTACATATTACAAGTGTCCCCATTGGGCAAAACTGGGTGAAAAGTACAAGGGATCCCTCCATTAGTTAGTACTAGTGCCTGTGAAATCTGTACTTATCTTGAAATATAAAGTTTAGTTAAAAATTTAAAAAGAAATATTCTAGCCTAAAAAATTTACTTGACCATGTTGAGACCCGAGCTTAAGAACACATCACAGCACCTTTGATGCTTTCTAAAAACTACAGAGTGGACAGAGTACAAAGTGGGTCAAGCACAAAATCGTGACCCGCAGCTGCTTCTACAGGTGTTACCAGCACCTGTGACTCTCCCGCTTCCTCAGCGAGGACCATCTCTGATCACACAGACGCCCTCGCACAGAGGCCAGAGGATTGAATCCTTCTGTTTTCCTACAGCTGCCACAGGCCACAACAAGGCACTTCCCAATGGCAAGGCAACCCATTATTAGTCTACACAAATGTAAGAACTCTGTGAGAGAACTGGATGTAACCTTATTTACATAAATCAAATATTCAAACATGTAACAAATGATCTGCCTGTTAAGGCAACATTTTCTTGTATCTGAGTTGAGCGAACAGATTTTGTGAGGAGAACTGTTCTATTCCAGGGGGACTAATATAGAGAAATAAAATATATGTATGGATTCCTTTCAAGTCTTTTTTTCTCCTATAAATATAATAGTTGTACGGGCGGCGCTGGACTGCTAGAAGAATCGCTATGGTGGAGATAGGGATTTTTTTTTGGAACCCTCTTTTTCGAGTACAAACATGCATTCAATCCAATAAAGACATTTTAGAAGAAAAGTCAACATATAGAATTGATTTTATTTTTTCTATACTTTGATTCAAAGAGAAAATGTTTGGTGATACTCTACAATACTAATCATTTCAAATAAAATGGATGATGAAGAAGAGCATGACCTTCTTTTGCATAACAACTGAGGATCTGAATTGGAAAAATATTTTTGTCTATAAATAGGAATATCCAAAACAATTTAAACCTCTTGCGCACTTGACTGTTCCAGGTCCTTTGCATCTAGATTGAACAGACCACAGGAAGTTTCAAAGCCCGATAGCTGAATCTAAAAGGAAAAGAAAAAGATTCATTTAGTTGTCATGGTCGCTGTCACCATCAATCCCTAATATCTCAGACTTCCCGGACCGCACTCAACTTCGCCATGCCGCTTTATGCTTGGGAGAAGACAAATCACTAATCAATTATGTACACTAATTAAAAATGCTACCTTTAGGAGGTGTTTTCATACCTTAGTAATAGGGGTGAGTATTTCCTCTCACCGCTGACTTTGAAACCTTTTCGCTATCACATTAGGCAGGATGCACTGAACATTTGCAAACACTTAATGCTACAGTCTACATACACTATCGAATCGCCCTCCAAAAGCGGTGCTACGATTCTGCAACTGGTTGAGGTCACATGGAAAATAGAATTATATGCTAATTTGTTCCTACATTAAGTTATCATAGAAGGTCAGACCAAACACAGCACAATGAATTCTAGAAAAAAAATTAACTAAGTAGATTGGTATGTACCGTATCAAAGTAAACTGTTTATCTCAATAGATACAAATACAAGCAAGATTTTTTTAAATGAGGGCATTTTCTCCTTTTCAAAAAATAAATGTTTTAACTAACCCCAGGCAATGACTTGCATGATTTGAAAACACTCTATATAAATAATTTTTCCCTAAAGAAGAACAAGGGCAGAGTATTTTTTTCAAGGGGGAAAAAATGGAGAAGGACATAGCATCCAAAAGAGAATAATTTCCCCAGAAGAAGCCTTCCTTTATCTACATATTTATTAAAACTTACTTCACATAAGTAGTTGTACATCTGCACTGTAAAATGAACACACAGGTTTAAACTACATGATGGGGTCAAGAGGTGCTGACTATAATACATGTATTATTTAACTCCAAAGTAAACTAAACAACAATATAGATGTTTTCATTAGCCTAGATCTGTCTGAAAAAAAAAATGTTTTATTTAAAAAAACCATTGCGAAAAAACCCTATATTCATTTCTTTTTCTGGAAGTTATATCTACAGACATCCCCTTATCCATGGATAAGCTGTATAGATTCTACATCAACTTAAAAAACAACAACTATAAAGCGAATTGATTGAAGAATTTGTGGGCTACCAGTTTTGTATATGATGATGGTGTACTCCTCACAGTTCTATTTTCAAAGGTCCGTTTATAGAAAAAGGGAAAGAATCTGGGTGAAGGGGTGAAGGAGAAATGAAATCTTACAGCATTTGAAACCATGGGACCAGTATTTTATAAAGCATCCAATCTACTGCAGAACACAACTAAGACGAGTGACAGAGATCATCTGTGTCACACCCTTAGGCAAAATCCTGGGGAAGAAAAAAACAGTAATTTTTTTGTTCTAGAGTCTATCCTTTTTTCCATTAAAAGACAGGTTTATATTTTTCATTTTATTGCAACATTTCCAATGCCGTCCTATAAGAGAACGAGCACTCACAAAAAGCCATTTGAATTTTCTTTCACTCGGAACTCATTTTTAATTTTTAGAGGAACTTTACCTACTACTTTTTTAATAAGATGCCATTACTATTAGTTATCATAAGATATGCTGGATTCCCATGAAGTATCAGTTTGACATCTTGCTCAAATACTTACTTTTCTGCTATTTATTACCAGCAATGTTTACCCTATTTTCTCCTAACCAAGTTAGATATGAAGATACTTCTTCAGGCACAAAGTCTTCAGGCTCCTTGATGGATTACAAAATACAGCTATATACTTCTCCACTATTATTCTTGTTTGAAGGACCTCATGTATTGGGATCTCAAAAAGTTGAGAATTACATTCAAAAAAAGGAAGGGAAGTCGGACAAAAATGAAAACATGCACTGATGCCTAAGTAAATTAATCTTCATTCCCACTGAAAGCAATCTGATGTCCAGGGACTGGGAATTATTCTACCATAAAATACGGCACATTAAATACTACAATAACCCATTTGAGATGTCCTAAGATAATGATTATGTCATCTACAAATGATCGTACATAGAGTTATATTTTAATATTCATTACTGGAGGTTCTAATGCAAAATATGTTGAAATGGTGAAAATAGTCGGTTAAAGATAAGATCAAGCAAATCAAATTCTGTAAACTGAAAGTAAGACTCAAAATAAGATCTGAAAAAAAAGAATGGATAAAAGTAAAGGCAAAATATTTGGACCCTGGTTGTAATCACAAACAACACTATCATTCCTGATGGTTTGCATATAAAACTCCTTATCTCCACTAGCTAGTTGAAAGGATGAAAAGCTTCTTACAACCAGCGAAAAAGAAAGTCTTTACCAGGCTCCTCGAAAAAGCTCATTTTCACATTACTCAGGCTTCATTATGCTAAATCAATATTCGTTTAGTCACTGGGGTTATTGACATATTTTAAAATAAAAGTATACCCTTCAGCTACTGCACTCATTACAGGTAATTTGTCTTGTCAGAGAGCAGGGAATATTATCCTAGTCTTTCAGGGGCTGACAGCCCATGGAAATACCTCCCCATGGTTACAACTGTAAATAATTTTAAGGTAAAATATTGAAAAATCAATGACTGTTTCCTGCAATCTGTCACAAACAAATCAATCATAATCTGTACTGCCAGAGAGTATGATTTGAAGGAGATGGGAGCAGATGTAATTCTTGGCTGAAATCTCTCATTTCAAAATCACTTCACATAATGGTGTCATCATTTAAACACTCAACAGTCAGTGCAACTGCCACTGTAACATCTAGTTGGACAAAACCACAAGGAGGAGGAGGAGAAAACGCCATCGCCATTATGTTAACAAACATTTAATTTTAATGGCTGCAGCATTAGTAAATTTCAGCTGAAAACAGTTTCACCTGTCCCCTTTCACAGTCCTACATTAATCAAGGCTGCCGTTCTACGTACGAATGCTTAATAAATTAGCCTCTGACTCAAAACTTGACTCTCCCACATACACCTTTTATTTTCAAGGTCTGTTATAGAGAATGAAATTTGGAATTAATAAATAAGACATCTGGATTGTAGAATATCCATAATTCTGCCCATATAACAAAGACAAAAAATAGTGTCATAGATGTCAAGATTATACTTTTAAAGTAGGTTTAAAGGTCTCAGTTGCCCGGATATTAAATTTTATATTTTCCTTCTATTAATACATATTACATTTCAACTTTGTAATATTGTAGCCTATTTTAAGATGACCAGCAAGACCCAGTCAATTCAAAAATACCTTCGCATTCTACACCCAAGCTATAGACTGGTATTTTAAAAACTGAAGTAATAACCCAAGTATCTGAAGTGTAAAAGTTGGTCAAGGTCCTAATATTGAATTGTTTTGTGAATGTAAACTGCTTTCCAAGTGATCGCTTTGATATCACCATTTTTTCTAGGCTACATTGTAATGGCTTACTCGGCTTACAACCTCTACCTCGGCATCAATACAAGAATCTGAGATTGGTACTTCTTGTTCTGTTAACCAAAAACATCATTTGATTTAAAGATCAAAGAGTCTTTTTTCTGCAGGTTTTTGTTTTTAAATGTACACTAGCCCTTTTAATGGAAGAACTTGCTTTTAGCTACCACATTGCTTACCAATTTCCGAATTATATCACTGGACACCATGAAACCCTTTATTATCCTATTAATACCCCTCTATAGGTATAGTTCAAGAAGTAGATGGGTTTTGGTGACTAGAAAAGTATATCATTTTTCTTAAAAGGGAAAAAAAAATAGATATAAATACCATTCCACAACTTAAGCCTATATAAACATTCTTAGACCCAGGCATAAAAGGGTTTTAGTCTGTTTTTAATTTCACCTGCATATTCAGTGTGGCAACACAGCATGAGGAGACAGAAGCTTTTCTTATGGATACCAACTGAGCGTGAATTCTGTCCTTCAAGAATCTTTGAGTCATTCTTTAACACTACCATTAGATTTTTGAAAACAGAAAAAACACCCGGGTAAATGATCAAAGATATCATCCAGAGGAAAACAGAGTCCTCCATTCCATGTGAAACCCTGCAACAGCTGCAGAGGAAGCGGCAAGCCAAGCTAGTGAGAGGAAAAGCAAAGTATTACCCGTAGCCTAGGACTGCAAGGAAAATGGAAAGGGACCTCAAGGGGTGAACAAGGAAAAGGACCCATGTGTGTGTGAGCCCCTGCGCCAGAGCTGCCCAGCCTGGGCCCAGCTCCCTCCCTGGCAGAGCTCTGGAGCCAGCTGTCAAACACCAAGGCTCGCACTCAGAGTAGGCCTGAGACTGGCAGTGGATGGCCCTGCAGAGAGTGCCTTCCCAGAGAAGGCAACAAAGATTGGGAGGTAAACGAGGACAGCCAAGCAACATGCCGAATGCACGCACATCAGCCACAAACTACGATGACGTCTACTAGAACTGGGGAGGCCACCATCACAGATCTAACTCTCAGAAAGAAGCTATTTTAAGGGTGCTGAGTACGCCTAGATGAGATTTCTCAGCTCTCCCAGCACAGCCCACAGCCCTTGGAGAAACAGCTCAAAACTCAGCACGGGAAAGTCAGATCGTTTCATACCCCACACTTAAAGAAATTGCTGCCTGGTAGATAAAGTTCTTATATGTAATAAAGGCTCAGGATTACAGAGGAAAGTATTCTTTTAAAAGAGATAATATTACCTCCCTATCTTCCGAATCTCCTCCTTCCGATAGCCAGTATAGTAGCTCCATTATGAACTGTAGACTCTTAAAAAGAAAAACAGCAATAGTTAGCTTCATCTTTCCTTCCACTTCCTTCCTTCATGGAATTACAATTTAATTACCAATACTTCGATTGATTTTATTCCTGAATGACACATTTCTCAAAAAGCATACTCTATTTCCACTAGAGAACATTTAGTACAACCTTCTCAATTAATCAACCATAACCCATTACTGTTGAAAGGACATGTTTTCTTCATATTTTTTTAAAAAACGGGACCCTCCCACCTGTTTTATATAAAAGGAGTACTAGTTTTAATACATTTGAGTATCATTAATATACATGAAATATGAATCTTAATAATAAATTTTGGCTGACAACAGATATAAGACAAAACCCACTTGCATATATGTTTAGATTTTTCCTGCATTTTTCCTTAGGGGGGGGAAACCCACCCAACCCTCTGTCTTTTAAATTCAACAACTTTACATGTGGTTAAAAACAACAACAATAACAACAACAACAACAACAAAGATGAAGCTTAAAGGCAAACGGGGAGGAATCAGACTGCTCACTGCTTCACATTTTCCTTGGATTCCTGTTGTGCATTTTCTAACTGGCTGTAAGGCATCAGCCCCTGGTCACACATGAAACCCTGTCTCCATAAGACCCAATCACCGACAGGGGAACACAAGTGTGTTATTTAAAAACAACTATATATCACTTCACCTTTATGTTAAAAATCACCTTCTGCCCTTCGAAAGTTTACGGAGAAGCAGTTGCTCTGCTGCAGGCTGTCCTGACTAGAGTTGCCTTCTGTTTCAATTAGCCTTTTCTCCTTTGGTCCTATAGCCATCTTTTTTACTTAACAAAATATTCTCTATCACTAAACCCAGTTCCTTGCTCTCCCCAATAGACAACACGAATATTCTGCAAAATAATTTTTTCTCATCTGCTTATATTCAGCAGCCCCTATTCTGATGAGAAATGACAAGCTTTACACACACCTGTACACCCTTTGAATTAAAAGAGTTTAGAACCCATGCCTGGAGCTGATCCTCCCATTAAGTTTACTTTTAAAAGAACTGGGTAATGAAAATAATCAAAAACTGTAATTTGGTATAAACAGATTATTTCCTTTAAATAATAATCCCATTTCTATGAAATATAACCTCAGTCTTGACTTTTATGGAAAGCACTGAGTTTAAAAATTTCGCCATCCAATGATATCATTAAAAATTAATTATTCAATGTATTTCCACGAATCAGAAATTTTTCTGTTTACTGAACTTTGTTTAATGCATTTAGTAAAATTTTAATAATCAAAGGCCTCAAGTGACATTCTTTACAATTTGTACTTAGTTCCTATTACTAATATAAATACTTTGGTAAAACCAACACTGACGCTATTTTGGGTTTACTCCACACACAAACACACCGTGTTGCAGACACTCACTTGCAGATGAGCTTGGGGATATGCAAGGACAAATTTCAGCCAACATTTGGAGGAACCCCATCGTTCAGAAGTGAACTTAGCTGAAAACACCCAAATGTATTACGGAAGCATCATACTTATAACCTGCACACACATAAAAAAATAAAAATGATTCTGTTTAAAGAAACACAGAAGACTAGTTAAATACTTTGGGGATGTTAGATATGAATACCTAATATAATTTCCTCCAAGGTATCACTCCATATTATGCCAAATAAACAAATAAAGGCTGTATCGAGGTGTGGAATATCATTAGCTTGAGAAAAGGCTAGAAAAATGAATTACCTAAATGACAACTGCAGGAGAAAATTATATTTCCTTCCCCTGAACAAATGTTAAGTGCATCTTTACTAATAAAGATTTAAACCTGAACTACATTAGAATATACTGGTTTTCAATTTTCCAGCATCCAAGTTAATTTGCCAAGCTAAATTGGTGCTTAGGTATATTCTAGCTATAAAACTACTGCAAATTTATGCAGAAATAAGTTATAAGTATCACACTTCGGAGCAGTGCTGTGACAGCAAACCCCAGTCATTATTGCACAAGAAAGAAACAATTCCAGGATTTTACATCTTCTTAGGGTTGCATCATTTGCATCTTTTAAGAACAATTATTCTCTATAAAACAGCTAACAATATACCAAAAAGATGTTAAAATTAAAGGAGCCAATAAAACATAGAAATTGAAGAGAAAAACACACAGATGTTGAGCTCTTACCACACAAAAAAGGCTGTGCTACCTCAGAGTTAAAACATTATACCAAAATATGATACTGTTTTCATATTCTATTATAAAGAACACGTTTAATTCACTTAGGACTACGCGATTTCACTTACTTGCACGTTATCAACTGAAGAGCATTTAAATTTTTCCTAAGGATTTCTATAATGTAAAAATATATTAACAATTATGTGGTGTTATTAAGACAGACAATAGGTAATTGGTTCCCATTCTTATTTCATTTCTTTTAAGGCAGCATATAAAATTTGAAAATAACACATGGATAATAGCATAGGGATGCCGATCTTAGCTGCCAGGACAAAAATTTTGATGGGGGACGTTGGGGGATAAGTAAAGCAATTATCTCAAAATTAATGCTCTTGTTTTAGTTTCAGCAAACAAATCTAAATAAGTCTTTTTTTGATTTTAGTTTACCATGTAATTCTAGCCAGCTAATCATCCTTGGAGTCACGAATGAGCTGTGAGTATACACCTGGCTTCTCCGATCATATGCCTATGGCCTCCTCCACTTTCATTTCCTCTTTCTACAATGAGTTTTAATATTAAAGGAAAACACTCACACATCTTATATACACCATTGATGGACAGCCAGCTTCCAGGAAATCATGAGCTACAAAGAGAGGGGGGAAATCTTAATGCAATACTTATGTTAAAGGGTATTAGGTGCTGGGTGAGCCAAGGGTAATGTAATCAGCAGCAGCCCTCTTGCTATTGTTTTTGCATTCAGAAATCTGACGTAAAGGGCAGTAATATTATTTTAGTGGTCGCCCAGGTTATGATTCAGATCCTTAAACTAATAAGAGGCTAAATGCACTACCTTCACTTGCTCATAATTCGAATTTATAGACAATATTTGGGAAGAAATAAAAACAGTTTTCTTCTATTTCTGGAAATAAAAACGAGGCATTCCATAAACAAGCTAAGTACCTGGTGATGTGAAAAGAGAAACTACTTTAGATCATTAAAACATTCTAGGAGATGGTTTTCCGAAATATAAAGTGACATAAATTTCTCATATATTTACCTTTTTATTATATTCCTGTCTCTGCACATCAAGCAAGCTTTCCTCTACAGATTTATTCTCAACACTAATAAATGTTTGCTTAATAACAGACTGTCCCATTTATGCTTTTCTTTCTAAATTAGCAACCACGACTCCACAAAGAGCACAAAGAAAGCTGACAAAGGCATGGCCAAAAAGCCTCAAGTAGTATGACTACATGCCAGAGCACTTAACATTAAACTACCATTTCTCTCGAAAACTTCTGTTGCCAGAGTGCTCACAAAATCTGGAAGCTCGAAGACAGGTTTCAAGTGCAATTAAATTCTCCAAAAGCAAAACTGTACAAAAATATGCCGCCCTTCTTATGTCACCATTTTATAGAAAACATTTTCTCAGGATCTTAATTAAGATAACGATGCACACCTGTGTCAACATTCTCTGGCAAGACAGCCTTATCAATCATAATCCTTTAAGTACACTCCAAAACAGCAAAGCGATATGACAGAAGCAATCTGTTGCCTTTCCTAGCTCCGATGTTGTGTCTCTCGCACAAGAATGATGAGATCTTTAAAATGCAGCAGACCTACTTTTATGAGTCTTTAAAGTTTTAACTGTAAACAGTTATTACACTAAATAAACAGGAATAACCTCTTTTGCACTTGATTTAAACGATGACAACTGTACAGCCAAAACTCGAACAGCAAGCTCTGCAGCCATGTCTTAGTAATACAACTGTGGATCTTATGTTAAAGCTTGAAATTTTAAGAGTTACGCATAACTGGATCCGTGCGGACATGACGACCCAATAAACCTTCAGGAAGTCTTAAAATTACAATTTGTTAAAGTCCTACGTTAAAAGCAATCAGGGCATGCCTATCCCCAGTCTAAGTTGAAATGTTCAGAAAGATATAAATGCAAGAGTAACCCCCGGCCCCCCGCCAAAAATGGAGTCATTTTGGTAAAGTGGAACGAGAGGGAGAGAGCTCCCACCTCTGCGGGGGGAGAAAGCTTCAGTGACCAGAGACCAGTGAAACTACAGCTTAACAAGTAAGCAGGTTCCCAAACGGGAAAGCTGATGAATAAAGGAGAAGAAAGGCAGGGGAGAGAGGACCTTAACCGTCACCACTACCAAGATGAAAAGGTAAAAACCTCGTGTTTACCAGCAAAAACGTAAAAACGTTCACAGGAACACTGAGACACCCCGCCAGATGCTATTTGAATCCCCATCTGCCTGCTAATGATCATTTCTTCCATTTCACATATTAACACAAGTCTGAGACGCCGGGCGGCCGTGGCCCGCCGAGCAGCGGAGCCATCAATGTGCAAATAAAGCAGAAAATAGAGACATCCTTAAGAAATGAGTCTTAAATTTGACGTAGAGCGGAGGTGACAACCACAGCAACAGAACCATAACTTCGAAATGCTTCAATATCTTTCAGGATTCTCTCCAGACCTTGACACCAAAAAGAAGACAGTAAAAGGAGAGGGGAGGGCGGGGGCGATAGCCTAGCGGCCCAGAGCGGCCGGATGATGTAATGAGGATGTCTCTGTGACAGACTCAGATTCTCGGTGGCACAAACCTCCATGGCTCCGTGTCAGAAAACAGCATCCTGGACGAGAGCCGAGAGGGTGCCGCGGCCGCGCGTGGATGGAGGGGACACGCCCACGCGCGCCCGCCCGGGGACCGTGACATCTGGAGAGGCCCGCCCAACACTCACGCGGCCCACGCCCACCCGGCGCCCGGCGGCGCCCGGGGCAGCGCCGCGTCCATCCGGTCCACGAAGGGACTCGGACGCGGCGCGAGAGGCAGTGAGCCCGGTCGCGGCCGGGCGGGAACGCGGCGGGACTGGGGACCCGGGACTCACCTCTCCTCCGCCGCGCGAGCGCGCGGGCGGCGGACACTGCCCGGTGGCTGGCGCAAGCCCCCGGCGGGCGGCGCGCGCGGGCCGCTACCGACCGTTAGCGCGAGGGGCTGCCGCGGCTGCCGCGGCGGCGGCGGTGGCGGCGGCGGCGGCGGCGGCGGGCGGAGCCGGGGGCGGGCGCTGAGGAGCACAAGGGCCGCGAGGGGCGGGAGCGAAGGGAACGGGGCGGGGTAGCTCCCCGCGACCGCCCGGCCTACACCGAGCCCGGGAGGACACCTCCCCTTGGCTGCCCGAGAAGCCACCACTGGCCAGCCCGGCGCTCCCTCCCGCTCCGGCCGTCCCGGCCGCCGGGCCTCGCCTCAGTCTCGGCAGGCTGGCAGCCACCTGGGCCGGGCTGTGCCCGCCTCCGAGGCCGCCGGCTTCTCGTCTCCATGACAATAGCGCGCCGGCGCCCCGCCCAGCCCCACCCGCTCGGCGCCGTGACTCGGAGGGAAGCGGGCTCACGTCGCCGAGGGGCGGGGCCAATAGAGGCCAGCGTCCAATTAGAGATGGAGGCAGGGAGGGACAGGGCGGGGCTGACCGAGAGATTGTCGATTGTCTGCTTGAGGGGCGGAGCCGGGGGGGAAGCGGACGGAGGGGGAGGAGTTAGCGCGCGTGCGTGAAGTCCGGCCGCCGAGCGCGTCCGAGTTTACTGAGTGGGTTAGTGTGCGGGGACTGGAGCTCCGGAAATGAAGTGTATCTTGCTTGTCAAAGTCATCGCGGGGAACTGTGTAGTTGTCCTCCGGCTTGCGTGTGACCCAATTTTATAAAAGATCACGAAGTCCCTGATAGACTGAGCTCCAGTGGAGTGCCCAACACTGTGCCAGCCCCTGTTTTGGTTCACCAGAGCCCCTGTCTGTCCCAGAGTTCGAGTGTGTCTGGCTTGTGGCCGCGCGGGGTGGAGAGACAGGCAGGGGGTCTGTTTTGTATTCTAACTGTGTGGCCGTCGTGGGCAAGGGCTCTGCCTGTGACTCAGCTGTGTGTGTTTGCCTTGCCAGCGCCTCGCTGAACAAACAGTGGTTGGGTTGGGCAATGCCGAGTGTTTGCAATGGAGCGTGGGCGGGTGCTAAAGTGCGAAGGGGAAGGGGACCCGCACCTTCCACCACCGCCACCCGCCTGGCAGGGGGAGCTGCGGATGGAGAGTCCCGAGGAAGAGGCGGCGAGGCATGGCGGGGGCGTGAGGGCGTGTAGTGGGGTCCGGAGACCTACTCCGGTACAGCTGCTTCTTCGTATGGCAGCTCTTGCCCATTACCTCTCCTCTAGAGAAAGGCTCTCCCGTAGTCCCGGGCCCCGCCCCTCCCTCGCCGTTTGGCGGGGAGTTGGTGGAAGGGAGGCCGGAGACATGCAGACGTCCAAGGCCTGTCTCTCGCCCACCTGCTGCTGCTGGCGGAGAGGGACAGTCATCTCGGCCTCCTCGCGCCCCGGACGAGGGCATCCCTCCGTCTCTCCCAGGGACCTTCATTCCTGGTCTCCAACTTGCTCTCCGGCTCCCTGGCTTGGGAGAGAAGCCAGGGGCGGGTCGGCGACGGTCCGCTTGGGAGCTCAGCCTCTTGCGGAACAAGAAATCCGCTAACTCCGCGGTTTACTGCGGCAAGCACAGAGCAGAGCGTTCGCCGGCGCCCAGTCCCCCGCCTTGCTGCCTTTGTGCTTCGGAGCGACCGGACCCGCCGCCAGGGCCCGCCTTGTGTCGGAACCGCCACTCCACCCCGACTTAGCAGGGAAGGAAAGTTGGAAGAGATCGGCGCGCCTGGGATGTGATTGTCATCCTGGGGCCGGCGCTCGAGAGTCTGAGAAAGAGAGAGAGGCAGAGAGACCCGGGAAAGGGGGGGGGGGAGAAAAAGAGGAGGGTGGAGAGGAGGGCCGCGGAGGAGAGGCGGGCGCGAGGGAGGGGCGAGGGGAGCGCCAGCGAGCGGGAGAGGGAGCCGGGGAGGAAGAGGGAGAGGGCGAGGCGCGCCTGGCGGCCGGGTTGGCTGCGGCCGCCCAGAGGTTCCTGCCAGTCCTCCCACCGACTACACCCCGGGAAGGAGGAGCTTCAGGCGCGCACAAGGCGTCAGAATCCTCAATTTCCAACTTAGCATCTTGGCAGGACCTTTGCGAAGCCAAAAGCAGAGCCCCCCAGTGCAAAGAGCGAGGGGGAAAAAGAGAAAGCAGCAAGGGAGGGGGGGGAACCCAGCCGGGGCTAGCAAGGCGCGCAGAGGAGAGGGCTCGGCAGTCGCAGCCGGAGGCGCGCGGGAAGCCAGCGAGGAGGCGCGGCGGGCCGGAGCCCGGGAGCCGGGGCCCGAGAAGCGGCAGCCGGGGGCAGCCGGAGGCCAGGTGCCCGCCCGCTCGCCCTCGCAGGGCGCCGCCCGGCTCGTTGGCGGCCGCGGCGCGGCGCGCCCCATGCCCGTGTGTGGCCATGTCCTACCCGCAGGGCTACTTGTACCAGCCGTCCGCCTCGCTGGCGCTCTACTCGTGCCCGGCGTACAGCACCAGCGTCATCTCGGGACCCCGCACGGATGAGCTCGGCCGCTCGTCGTCGGGCTCCGCATTCTCGCCCTACGCCGGCTCCACCGCCTTCACGGCGCCCTCGCCGGGCTACAACTCGCACCTCCAGTACGGTGCCGACCCCGCGGCCGCCGCCGCCGCCGCCTTCTCCTCGTACGTGGTGAGTGAGCGGGACCCGCGGCAGGCAAGGGCAGCTGGGGCCGCGCGGGGCGGGCGGGGGCTGCGGAGGACACGGGCCTTGGCGCCACCGCGGATCGCCCCCGCCAAGCTCCGCGGCCCCTGCAAACTTGGGCGCTTCGTCCGGGCCTCGGGCTCAGGAGTTGCTCGGAGAGCAGAGCCGCGTCCTGCTTGGGTCGTTGAGCTGGCGGAGAGGGTTTTTTGGGAGAGGTCGCTGCAATTAAAGAGCAGCATTTGGTTCAAATGTGAGCTCCAGGCCGCCCTGCAAATTTCATTTTATTTTTTTGGTTTTGCCATTCTGGAAAAGTAGTTCAAAAGAAATGGACCAGAAATCTGAGCAGAAGCGTGCTAAGTCTATGTAAATGTGTTTGGCCTCGCCTTTAATTAGTCCTCCAAAATGTTGCAAATCCGTAATCCTATCTTCGCAATCCGATTTGGAGGTATTAAATTTCTGAAAAGTCGGCCGAGCTGCGGTGCATCCGGGATTTTTCGGCCGGGTGCACTTTCTGGAAAAGCGCCGTGGCTTCGGTTTGGGGTAACATTTTTGGAGGGGTGGGAGTGCCCGGACAAGGCTTAGCTTTTCCTTTGCCTTTCTCTGTGGGGGGAAAAATGCCTTGACTTCCCTTGTTCTCTCCCCTTGCGCCTAACGTGCGGCCACCCGGGCACGAAGTGCCGAGTCGCCGCCGCTGCCCAGGCCTCTGTCTGGGTGGAGGGCCTGGCCGAGGTGGCCGGATCTGCGCATGGGGGGCGGACTTGCCCCGGCAGACGGGGGCCCACAGGGTGCCGCTGAGGCCAGGACGGCTCAAGCGCCCGGGAAGGACGGGAGTCAGGAGTTGGCGCCCCCGCTGCCTGCGGAGGAGGAGGAGGAGTTGCCCCTGGGTCTGAGCCCGCCAGCCCTACCCCAGGGGAAGTCGGAGTTTGGGCCTCGCAGCTCGCGGACCCCTGGGCGCAGGGGAAGTGTGCTTCGATCGTCTAGGTGGTCCTGGGGACCACGGCCCACTCTCACCTTCTCTCTGCCTGTTCCTTGCAGGGCTCTCCCTACGATCATACACCGGGCATGGCAGGCTCCCTGGGGTACCACCCATACGCGGCGCCCCTGGGCTCGTACCCCTACGGGGACCCGGCGTACCGGAAGAACGCCACACGAGACGCCACCGCCACGCTCAAGGCCTGGCTCAACGAGCACCGCAAGAACCCCTACCCCACCAAGGGCGAGAAGATCATGCTGGCCATCATCACCAAGATGACCCTCACCCAGGTGTCCACCTGGTTCGCCAACGCGCGCCGGCGCCTCAAGAAGGAGAACAAGATGACGTGGACGCCGCGGAACCGCAGCGAGGACGAGGAGGAGGAGGAGAACATTGATCTGGAGAAGAACGACGAGGATGAGCCCCAGAAGCCGGAGGACAAGGGCGACTCCGAGGGCCCCGAAGCAGGTTGGTGGACGCGGGAAAGGGTGTGTTGGAGCGGGAGTAAGAAGGAAAAGGGGGGCCTGGAGGTTGGGGGCTAGGGTCTCTGCCTTTGCGGGCGGGGGCCTGGGCTCCGCCGCGCGGCCTCCGCGCCCCTGACGGCCTGGGGTTTCGCCCGCAGGAGGAGCGGAGCAGAAGGCGGCTTCGGGCTGCGAACGGCTGCAGGGGCCGCCCACCCCCGCCGGCAAGGAGACGGAGGGCAGCCTCAGCGACTCGGATTTTAAGGAGCCGCCATCCGAGGGCCGTCTGGACGCGCTGCCCGGGCCCCCCCGCGCCGGCGGGCCCTCCCCGGCCGGGCCAGCGACAGCGCGTCTGGCTGAGGACCCGGCCCCTCACTACCCCTCGGGCGCGCCGGCTCCGGGCCCTCACCCAACCGCGGGAGAGCTGCCCCCCGGTCCCGGCGGGCCCTCGGTCATACACTCCCCGCCACCGCCGCCGCCGCAGGCGGTGCTCGCCAAGCCCAAACTGTGGTCTCTGGCAGAGATCGCCACATCCTCGGACAAGGTCAAGGACGGGGGCGGCGGGAGCGAAGGCTCTCCATGCCCACCGTGCCCCGGGCCGGTAGCGGGGCAAACCCTAGGAGGCAGCCGCGCGTCGCCGACCCCGGCGCCATCGCGCTCGCCCTCGGCGCAGTGTCCCTTTCCAGGCGGGACGGTGCTGTCCCGGCCTCTCTACTACACGGCGCCCTTCTATCCCGGCTACACGAACTATGGCTCCTTCGGACACCTTCACGGCCACCCAGGGCCAGGGCCAGGCCCCACAACCGGTCCGGGCTCGCATTTCAATGGATTAAACCAGACCGTGTTGAACCGAGCGGACGCTTTGGCTAAAGACCCGAAAATGTTGCGGAGCCAGTCTCAGCTAGACCTGTGCAAAGACTCTCCCTATGAATTGAAGAAAGGTATGTCCGACATTTAACGCGGGCTGCGTCGGTCCCGGACTTTCCTAATTTATTAAAAAACATGGCCTTGGCAGTTATTTTTCCATCAACAAGAGAGAGAAACAAAACTACCCCTCCTATTAAAAAGTTTATAGTTCATGGAGATGGATGACGTACACATGTAAACATCTCCCCACACGAAAATGTCTTAACCAACCGAAAAGAGAAATTAAAAAAGGATTTGTATTAAATCTTATTCTGTATATTTAATGTAGCATTTTTGTATTTAAATTGATAATTCAATATCTTTGAAGTAAATTATGAAATTAAGACACCTGTACAGGCATTTAATGTTTTTTTTTGTAATATAAATATATACATTTGTGTTTCCCCCGAAACTGTTTCATAGTTTAAAAATACAAGTTTAATTTAATTTTTTACACCTATTGATTTTTCTGGGTATGAGCTAAAGTATTATTGCAGAAAGGAAACAGGTTATACTCTTAGATTTAAAAAGT